ACCAGAAGGCCCTTGTAAAGTATTTTGTAAAATAAAAAAAAAAAAGTTTTAATAATATATATATATTTATATTTTTTTTTTCTTTGGGGGAAAGGGGGAATCTTCATACTTCCAACTCCCTCTAAATTCACGAATGTTGAATATGCAAAGCTGCCTTAATACTGTTTTTCATGTTTGATTATCAAAGTTAGAAGTCTTATTCCTCAATACAGTAAGATGTGTGGACTTGATGTATGCTGCTAATTTCCTTTTTTCTACTCGTGTCACTCACAGGCACTCACACAGAGAAAACCACTCGGACCGTTTTTGCTGTTGTGCTAAGCACTTGTCTTTTTTCTAAATATTCCTACTGATCAAAATATTCTTTCTATTTCTCTTGTATCCAGAATGCATGATTTTAAAGCCGATGTTTTAAAATTGTTTATTGGGAGTGCAAAAATAATTTTCATGACCTTTTATGTGGTGTTATGTTATGTTTTTGATTTTTTTTTTTTTTTAAACACTGTATAAACCGGAATGACTTTAGTTGTTTTTAATTAAAATCTTCGAAGCAAGAGTAACAGGAACGTATACACGATTCAATGAAGTTTACAGTCTACATCTTTGATAAGGGAAAAATGGTTTATGACATGTACACAGTTGCTAATAAAATGTGCTCTATATATTCTATATGATTTGTAAATATTTTATACAACGGTACAAATAAAATATTTTTCTATCATATTAATGATGTTGGAACACAGTATTTGTTTCATGTTAGCTAATATCGTTTAACATTTAACATATGTCCAGCCGAGTTGGAAGTGCTGATGTCTCTAGGCTTTGAGAGCTCACTCATGCTGAAATTACAATTTTCCATGCTATTTTTTTTTTTTTAGTTCCCAATAGTTTTCTTTTAGTAATGTAAAATAATTGCTATTTAGACACCCCAATAAAAGCCAATATTGATAAGTTTAACTTACTAAAGCAGTCTACGTAGAGTTTTGTTACGTTTGGCAAAGAAATCATTATTTTGTTTTTTTTTAAAAGCAAAAAAAAAAACACTAAAAAAAACAAACTGCAACATCTAGGTTTTAACAATTGGCAGAGAACAGAATGGTTTGTAGTGGTTAAGAGCAGCATCAACTTCACAAATAATAAAAAAAGTTTAAAAAAAGCTTTTTAAATCCTTTGCTGCGGGAGGAACTACAGTGCAATGCCAAGCAATGCCTTGCAGGCTTCGTCAGGCAGCGAAGGGGTTAAGGAGTTCTAGTTTCAGTGTATGCTTTTGGTGACAGCTGCATTTTGCATGCTTCCGGACAAAATGTCTGGTAAGAATGGAAAGGGAGGGTTAAACTGCTTTCACGGTGGGCCGAGTGGGGCTTTTAACGTCCAACACTAATGTTGCAGGTCTTGCAGCTGGGATCTTTTTTTGCGTTGGCAGTAGACGAACTCATGAGCTGGTGGCCAATTATTTCTGCCACTGTACCCCAAGAAAGATCCACAGGGTCAGTGTAAATGACTTCCAAGTTTACGTCTTGGGCATGATGAAATACCAGACTGCCGTCCTCTTCGGTGCAGGTCAGAAATTTGTTGTCATTCAGGCTGAGCTGAGGAAGGCGTTGCTTACAAAACTCATCTCCTGGTGAGCCCACTGGAGCAATAACCACAATGACATAGTGATACGCTGTGTACATACAGTAGAAGTCCCCAAAGTATAGGTTGGTGTTTGGATTGAAGAGTTTTTCAGCAGGGATCACGACTCTGTGCCTCCCATATGGAGAATCTTGTGGAGGCTTCCCAGTGTTGAACTCGGTGTTGCAGCTGAAGAAGATTCCTTCCAGTTTGGCACTGATTGGGGAACCATGGCTGCCACTGTTGTCTTTTAGTGAGGGCTGCATGACATTCCCATGATGCTTCCTAAAATAAAAAAAAGCATGTAAATGCAGATAAATATGTAGGACCATTTAAAAAAAATATTTTGCAAGTAGAAGAATCTGCCCGCTATTGCTCTCGGAAAGCCACAAACTAACTACTTAGTAAGAAGCGCCTAACCTCTAATATAACATGAGTGTCACCAAAATACAGCCTTGAAAAAAATCTTAGAAATGAGGATTATGATTACGGCAACACAGTAAAAGATTTAAGAAACAAATCAGTGGCCTGGAAGTAGTACATTTTAAGGTTAATAACAGAGGTCTGAGGAGGGTTTTGGTTCTGGCTTTAGCCCTCGTTCACACCTGAACGTTTTTTAGCGTGTTCTACGCTCGACGAACGCTCTGCAAAACGCTCCAATATATAAATCGCATTGTATTCAATGGGAGTTTTCCATTAAACAGTTGAATATGTTAGTCATTAACATGAATTCATGATACATGTGTTCATTTGTGCTTTACTTTTTATTCATCCATTTAAGTCAACAATTCACCTGTCTGTTCTTACATGGATTCTTAAAGCGGGAATAGATTCTATAATATATTTATATAATAAATATTGGAGGGTCTATTTCCGCTTTAAGAATCCATGTAAGAACAGACGGGTGACTTAAATGGATGAATACAAGAACCTTACTGTTGTGGGCAGGCAGGTAAGAATGTTTTTTTTTTCCTATTGGTTTGCCTCTTCTACACTAGATTTGCTGCACACAAATTTTCGTGTGTGTGTGCGCGTTGGGGAGGGGGGTTAAAAGTTCCACTTCTGTAGAAAGGTTCATTGGAGTTTTTAGAGATATCTCTCCTGAAAATGTTAGGTGATTGAAACATTACAAGAACTCCTTGCTTGATTAGTGGCCCCTTACATAGTTGTGTGTACGCTCACGAAAACAAGAGGCAGCATATGTTAACATTGTATCCAAAACATAAGACACACCTTTAACCTTTCCACATGTTGTTTGCAATGCAGGCCAGTAAAGGGTAGGTACTTTTCTGTGTCCCTGTGTTACCTCCAATAAGAATGAATCCGACCCCATACAACCACCATGTACCAATATGTTCTGATGAATAATTTTTTTGCCCAAGGGACTAAAGAAAGCCTTAAAATGTAAAGCCTTTAAAATGTATTAAAGGAAAAACCAAAAAATACAATATAGCATATACATGTGCTACACCGGCCATTTTGTAATTTAATGTTATTTTAAAAAAAGAATCAATGCAATACGGCAATCTGGAGGCATTTTCTTATGTCCAGAAATCTCACAAAGATGGAATTGGTTCACTGATTTGCTCAGAAGTCTGTTTTGAGATACAAGTAATATTTTAGGTATCGCCTGCATTAGGAATTGAATTTTTAGTGAGATACTCCCAAGACTTGTCTAGTAAAGACTGCAGCTTTCCTTATTAGAACACTGAGATTTGATCAGGTGGTTATAAAACACAGACTGACCCATTCAGGAATCAAAAGGTGACGCAAACGACAAAAGCCGGAAAGGGTAAGAGTCTGCAACAAAGTCTTTTAAATTCACTGTTGTGTGTAAATCGCGTATAATTGATAGATCTAAAAGTGAATCTAAATAGACTAGCTGTAAGTAAGTCATATTGGATATGAGGTTGTATAGAGCATTCATGCAGTCAGAAGGGGGTTCACATTTCTTCATACTGTAGGTCAGTGTGGCTGTGCTGCAGAGAGATGTAATGGACTGTACTGACACAAGCACACCAGCGAGGATTCTCATTAAGCACACTGGGGTGTTTGATGAGTCAGAGAAATTCAATAATTCTATTATATAATGGGAGACCACAGGAGCATCATCTGAACTACTGTCACAGGCAAGCTCTGGCTAACTCACTATAAGTAGTTTGAACAATTGCATGCATTCTGCTGGACAACACGTTCAGAGTTCAATCCGAATGTATTAAACAAATGTCAATTTTTGACTACCTGTGTGCATGCAACACTCAGCAGTATCCTTCCTCCCTTCTCTCCGCACTTGTTTTCAGAAGGCATTGTTTAGTCACCAAGAATTGTCTGAAGTGTAAAGTGTGCTACAGCATTCCGGGAGTGTGTTTAAAGACCCCCATGCTTTCACCAAACGTCATACATTGGTGGAAGGAATTTTTTTTACCATTTTCATAATAATATAAAAAGAAAAAGGGGAATTAACTCATCTCACCCCACCCATCCCCAGTATCCTCTGTCCTTAGCTGCAAGGTTGATCATTGTCTGGCACCCATGCCAGCTGGTAATATGGTTACTGTGCTACAGTTACTGCGCCTGTGTTGCTCCTCCCATTTCTACTGCACATGTGCCTGTCCTTTTGGGCACTCTGAGCACAGCAAACATGCCTGCTGTCTATCCCTGCAGAGCCTCTGGGAGCCATGCTACTGCCGAGTCACTGGGTCACCTATTGCTGCTACTGCTTTCAGATTTTTGGGTTTGGCCAAACTCTCACCTGTGCTGTGAGTACTGGGGGGGATACAGCATGGCGCAGAATAGGCATGGGGTTGCTAGTGTGGGGGGTACATTTGCCAAATTGTGGCTTGGCTGTCCAGAGGGACCAACACCTCTATAGATCCTATGTTGGGCTCTCCTTCTCCTCTGCTTCTATCTACAGTGTCTTCCTTCACCCCTTCTCTGACCTGTTATTCAGAGAGGAGTTTACTGTTGTTTTATGGGGAAAATGGCTAACCTGTTGGATGCTTCTAGCTACAGGAGCCGCAAGTGGCCCCCTTCTTCCCTTCAGAATACCCTTTAACTGTGTGTTCACTCTCTGAGGAAGAGGGTGGGGAAGGAACTGTATCCAGTTCTTAGAAATCCTCATATGAAGAAGACCTGTCCTTTAACTTAGAGGAAATTTTAAATGACATGATTTCTGTCCTTGCAGATGCACTTGCACCTTGTACACACTTGTTTGCAGTTAGAATTGCTGCCTCAACCCTCCCGAAGGTGACAAAAAATTCCAAAACCTGCAACAATGTTCCCTGTCCACTCGCTCTTACAGCTTGTGCTACAAAGGGAGTGGGATCACGTGTGTCCAGCAGTATCCTACTGAGGATGACTTCCTTGATAACTGAGCGGTCCCTACCGTGGATCCTGCCATTTCTTGCCTGAAAAGACTCAGTCATTTTTGAAGATGTCCTGATTTTTAAAGACCACACAGACAAGAGGTTTAAAAGCAATCTTTTAGCCCACATTTGCAGGCCTGGTCATACCTCTGCCTCTATGGCAGTTTGTCAGTCTGGTCCAGACTAGTGACCCCAGATTTATTCTGACTGATCTGGACATTATGGAACAGTGAGAACTGTTCCCTACGAGACTAGTTCTCTCCGCAAAATTTATAAAATTAAGCTGTTGTCACCTAATTCTCTGAGGTGAAGTGTTGTTAGTGGAGCCCACACCCCCAAACCCCCTTCCCTTAACTGGAGAACGTCTTTTCAGGTAATCCTTGTATACGTATATCAAGGCAGTCACATGGGGTGGAGGAATACCATGTTACCTCAGAAGTAGAAGCCTAAGAATCTGAAAGCCAAGACTTCCAGTCCCTCCTTTAAGTGTTCCTTTCATCCTCACCAAGCGTCAGGTTCAAAACCCAAGCAGGGTACACAGTTTCGCTGCAAGAGTTGGACCTCCAATTTAAAGAAGTGGGAGCACCCTTTCATGAGTAAGGATGTCCCTCAGCCTTTGCTGCTCCCTGGAAGCGGAACATTCTGTGTCCAGCATGTCATTTTACAGGGCTACAAACTAGAGTTTCACTACCAGCCTCCTCCCCGTTTCCTGCTGTTAAACCTCCCAAAGTCTCTTCAAAAGGTGTGGAGGGGAGGGGCTTTCTTTTCATGCTTTAGATCAGCTTCTCTCTCAAGGTGTCATAGCCCCCATTCCAAAGCCACAATTGCACCAGGGTTTTTATTCCAACTTGTTCACTGGTCCTAAGCCTAAGGGAGGGGTTCACCCCTGAGCTTTAAAATGGCGTATCTGCATACTCCTAAAAGGAGGTTCTAATCACTGGCACTAATTTTAAACACTTGATTCTAATTTCATGCATTGGAAGTGCTGGTATATGTAAGGCTGTACATATTGTCTGTGGCAAAACTGCATTTTCATTCATTTAAATTATGAGAATGACTATATCATGTTCATTTTATACATTACTGTTGCCTGGAGGCACCGTTTTTGTTTTGTTTACTTTTTCGACATATTTGAACAGGCAGCCTTTAGATTTGTAATCTTTAAAAATATATTATATACACAAATTAAATCAGCAGTGCAGTTTTCCTGTTGCAATTTGAGTGGTTAAATATTTGGAGAAAAAGAGATGCGTCTTACTCAGTGTGGTCAAAGTATTCTTTGTGTTGATTACGGTAAAAAACTGAAAATTTCAGCATACGTCCTGCGATTGCTTCAGCTTTCTCCATCAGCTGTGTTAGATGCACCGATGAATAATCTGTAAAGAAAGCAAAAAAAAAACTAAACACAAGTCTAATCAGTTACCATGAAGGAAGAACATGTTACAAGCTTTCTGTGTTACTGTCTATGAAAGTGAAAAGATTATTTTTTAATGACTGTTGAACACAGAATAAAGGCAATATTTTCATTGTAATAATTAGTGATGAGGCTTGGCTTGGTACGAACCCAGTTCACCCAAGCCCACTCAAAACTCTGACTGCCACTCTCATGACCTAATATGTGCCACTTTGTGACATATAGCTGCAAGGCGGGGAATTATGCACCCCCCCCCCTTCTGTTTGGGTTGGGAGAATGGGGTGGCAATCAGAGTTTTGATCAGCCTTGGGTAAACTCAGGTGAACTGGGTTTGCACCAAGCCCAGCCTCAGCTCTAGTAATAATTACATGACTAATATTTAAAGACATCTGTACTGAGTAAAACAGAGGCTGCCATTGGTGACTAGGGCTGAACTTAGTGTTCAGGGTGACCATGAGTTTATCCATTTGTGGTTTGGAAAAGCTGCAAACTAGTGCGACTGTTTGCTGCCATAGCAACCAATTGCAAATGATGCAATTCCTGGCCTCTGAACTGTGGCCAGATGACATAGAAGGGCAAATAATGTTCTAGTGTGCCATCCCCCTCCCTGTAAAATTCAGGGTTCCCATCAGCCTTGTCAGTGTATATGGAGTTGGAATTGATAGGGACAGCTGGTAGATATGGAATGCTCCTCAAAGAAAACAGTTTCAACAATTTTACACATTTTCCTATTTCAAGTACTTTGTTTTGGTTCTTCAATGTAACCATTATTGTTTGTATTCACCAAACTGTATGTTAACTCATCATGTGCAGCCACTTGGTGTAAGTAGGAAGTGTTGACATGCCTGTGCCTATCAACCTCCACTGCTACAGTGACCTTCACTCTTCATTAGCCCTGGAGGGGCCAAGAGGCTTATATTATTATCTTACCCACTCTTTGTCCCATCTCCCCTTTCCTCTTCCGGGATTGCTTTACAGGAAGCACATAGATTCTTAAGTGTCTCTATTAATAATGAACAAATTGGTCTATAAACCAAGTGAAGTGCAAATGTTTGTAAACACCCGGATTCTATGCAGACTAATCAAATCTGCATACTAGTCAATAATCATGACCAGAGTCCTGCATCAAAGCTGAAGGGACAAGGAGCACCTGTGCTGGCATCCATCATTAGAAATCACAAATCTTTCCATGAGGTTCTCTTAGCTGCAGCAGCAAGATCTCCCTCCCATAATTCTGGACTCTGTTCCACCTGGGAGTTTTTGGTGTTCCAATTTTGTACACTATGGTTCCTTCTTTTATATTTTCCATAACATAAAATAAAAATAGTACCCAACAAGGAGAATCTGAACTCCTAATAATGACCACAGCTCATATGCAAACACGAACGCAAATCTCACCAATACAGTCCCTGAGAGATACAAGAAAACCATCAGGTGGTTAAACACTTTGGCATGTATAAGAATTGAAATATCAGGGAGTGACCCTTTCACTCTGATGCTTTTAGGATTCTACAGACCTATACACAAACAGCATAAACCAGAACTGTATTAGCTAGAACTGTGAGGGTAAGAGCAGTGGCACAGATACACACTGGATCCAGAAATCCTCTCAGTTGGGGTTACCACTAAGTACTTGTTGGTAATACTGAAAATTCTGCTGAAAACAATTCCTGATTCCATTTTTACCTCCAGTGCAGAATTCAATAATCTCGCTCCATTCTGACACGGCATAATCTCCATCCACCTGTTTTGATGCAGTCTGGACAGCCACAGTGTACTCGGTCCTTGGGCTCAAAAACCAGTGTCCACGAACAGTCATCGGTAGGGGGACGGCTTTAGCTACCAGTTTGGTTGGAACATCCTAAGAGTAAAAAAAAAACAATTATACACAAAATGCATCAGCAACAACAGATACATGTATGCTTTAAATGTGTTCTGGACTTTAGGTAGCCCCTTGTGGCACTTCCAAACCATTGAAAGGAACTGCTTAGTTACAGCACTAAAGTATTCAGTGTACACATATGTGATGCGAAAGCCTCAAGCTGGCCATACACCAATAGATTTTCTATATAGATCAGCCTATGGTCAGATGGAAAAGGTACAACAGATTCCTCCATCTACACTAAACTGTGTGTATGGAGGAATCTCCCACTGGGCCAAGCTTCGGTATCTTGCTAGTCGGCCCTGCTGGCATAAGGGCGTAAGATCCTGTGTATGTACAGATCCATCTACTCTTGTATTTTAGCTGTCCATTTACATTTATAGCTTCTTCCTCAAGAAAACTAATATGAAGAAACTGAATAATAATTCACTAGAGTTATAATTTGGTTTTAAAATCTGCTCTTGCATCTTTCATTAAATCCGGATGCCTCCTGTCAGCCGCCTCTCCATCATTTTTATAGCCAGTGTAATTGCAGGTTTTCAGAACAGATCACCTCCATGGTGTTAAAAAGAAATGCATTCATTGAGAATAGCAGTGCTGGGCTTATGAGAAACAGAGGTGACTTGATTTGATAAAACACATTGATCAGTTCATCCCTAGATGCACATTCCATTGTCTTCAGCCTGTTCTGTGCCTAGTTTGGATGAAAGCTGAGGCAATTCAAATGGAATTTTCGGTTTAACTTTTTTAACACAGTTTAACTTTGTTTGCAAGCAATTAAGACAGCCGTCATTATTATTCATTTAGGCTTCACTCTGCGCACTTAATGAGTCAGTTCTGGGTCATTACTCTATTTGCTGATGGGTAGCAGAGCTTAAGAGCTTTAGGGTATGATATGCAAATTGTTCAAGAAAATTCAACTACTTCATGAGCTGTCATTTGGTTATTAAAAAGCAGCCATCGCTTCAATTAAATCTGCCCATAGTGAGCTCTGTCATACTGCCGCCTCTGAACTGGGAAATACAAGGAATTGAACATGGCTTTTCAAGGGAAAATCTACACAAAACGAATGTTTCAATTCTGAATCGATGTTGGCAGATTAACCAACGTGCTGTGTGGGGTTTTTTTTCAATCTCCTCCCAGTATGTCGGATAATAGTGCTTTGAAGAACTCTGGGCAACATTTTGATTTATATGGGTAGCTCCACTGCAACGGTCAACTGCTTGTTTTCGTCAAGGGAGGAAAATGACAAAGTTATACTCGTCCGGTCCTCCGAGACGGCCTTAGACTGCTGCAGCGGAGGAGGGGGGAGAGCCTCCAGGGACCAGTCTAAAAGCAAGCCAGATTTGGTTATTCCTATGCTTTTTTAAGCTAGGTCATAATCTTCTTGCAAAGTCTATCATTGCACCTGGACATAATTTTTCATGGTGCGAGGCAAGTAGATTCCATCCCAGAAAGTACTCTGGATGTCAATAATCCTTTTTTTTTCCTTACGAAAGATGAACGACATCAAAAAATGGTTTATAGATTTTATTTAAAGGAGAACACTTAGGGCCCATTCACACCTTCCCAGAACAGTAGTAACATGCATGCTGAAGTGCTATTTATTTTGAAGGGCATCCGAATGCAATAAGGTAATGCAACTTCAACACACACGCATTGCCATGTACCAGAATGCACACTAATGCACTACCTTGTGATGTGGTGTGCTGTTTTCCTAAAAAATGTTGAATGTCCGTTTTATTGGGCGTTTCTGACTATTACCAGCCCGTCCCCATCTTAATGCAGCACACGCACACAAAAATGCACATAATGCAACACAGCAGGATGCCAAAGTCTGAAATCCCTCAGAGACTATGCGGAAAGGAAGTGTGGCAGCAACGTGAAACTTTCCCCAATGAGCACACAAACTGCAGCAACTGGGGATAGAGGACCCCACTCTATCCCAGAGTTGGACTTTCTATAAAATTGTTACCATATTATATAACATTTTACAGAAACTATGACACAAAACATACATTTCCATTACATCTTTGGCTTACAAAGCTATATCGTTTATATCACTATAGGGGGTTCATATATAAAAAGTATGCTCAAAAGAAAATGCAGCCTTGTCAACTCATCCCAGAATCATTAGGTCCACCCAGTTTTCTACCTCTTTCATCCGGACTCCCTGCGGGATGTACAGCTCATTCAGCAGAGCCCTCACCCACTCCTCTTCAGCTACAAGTTGTCCTTTGTTAGTATATTATAATTTTGTATGTGTAAAAGTCAGTTAATGTATATTTTTTGTTTTGGTTACAGCTTCTAAAAGGTCTGCAATATTTACATATGGACATTGTGCAGTATCACTTCATGTTATCTGTATGCTGGGTGTAAGGCTCAGTACCTGGTAGTCTCCTGTATGTATAGATGCACTCTACTACTTGCAATGACACTGCATATTACCACTTATTGTACACCTCGAAGTAGCAGGTTGGAAAATCTTTGGCCAAACTGAGCTTGCAGCCAATGAGCCATTCGAGTATTCTGACAGCGGTCGTTGGCCACCATCAGAATAGAACGCAAAACAGCAGAGGATTCCTCCATCCATGTAAGCTTGTAAGCATGGATGGAAGAATCTGTTATATTTTCTTCCTTCAACCTGCAGGTTGAAAGAAGAAAATATAACCATGTATACCCAGCTTAAGCATGGTGGTCTGTTAATTATCAGCAGTGGTTCCGTTTGGCACTAAAGGTTAAATGTCTGTTTCATGGTTAAAATTCATTTAAAGCAAATAAATGCGGCCTGCAACCTTTGTGGTGTGTTTACTTTACTATCGAGGCATGTTGTTATTGTGTGATGGGAGTTAATCGGGTGCACAATCCTATGAAACGCAGCAATGGCTGCTTTGTTTTGCATTAACACACAAGTTTAAGGGCTCATTCACACAAGCATATAGATGTGTATAGTTTTGTTCGTATCTGTACTTAACATCATAGAAATCTATGGGCCCATTCACACAGCTACACCTAGCAGCATAATGCAGTGCTGCATTCAGAACCCCTTACCCAAAAAGAAAAGGACAGAGCTGTGTCTGGGGCTGTATTTGGCACTGTAGGCATGTAAACATTTGTGCTAACGTTTACTTGCGTTCAGGAATGATGCACCCTACTGGTCACCATCGCTGCTAAGAGTCGACATGGATGTCAGTATTAACAACATGTAGCCAGTGGCTCGTACACTACTAACTATATATTACTGATTACAACATGTCAGCCCACCATCATCATGAATTAGCTAAGGTCATTCTGCGCATGCGCCATCACTGCATGAATGACTCATTCAGGGCTGTCATGTAAAACATTAGGGGCTCAGGGGGCGTGGCTACCGCGCAAGCTGATCGGACGCATATTTCTCTTTACTACTCCCATGTTTGGGATAATGTAATACAGAACTGTCTGTTAATAACCTTCAAAATCTAATAAAAAACATTTGGAAAAAAAACATTAGGGGCTCTTTCACACAGGTGTGCACATCTGTATGGCATGCAGAGATCTGCTCCCAGGAGGGACACGTATGGCATGTAATTGCATGCACTCGCCTGTAAATCCCTATGTGCGTCCAAGTTCGGACACCTGGGTGTGCAGGTTTGGGTCAGCGTGTAGCTGTGCACTGCCGTGTCCTCCCATAGGGATGTACAGGTGGCTGCATGCAATTACACGCCGTACCGGTCCCTCCTGAGAGCAGATCCCTGCACAGGCGTGCAGGCTTGTGTGAATGAGCCCTAATATTGTGTAATTACAAAGGCACAGTTGCCGCTGGCTACACATTATTGATATTAACAACTGGGCCTAGAGCAGGCCAACCTGCTCAATTTATGCCGTACGTAGGTCAATGATTGACAAACATTACATCCATACAGCTTCTGGGCAACTTTTTATGCAGGATCTTACTGCCAGCAAATATCCTGCCTCTATAGCATACACCCGTGTGAATGACCCCCAATATGTTTTTTCAGAAGGAGTGGACAATGCAACACACCTCCGATATATCTAGGGATTTGTTATATATTAACTGCATGTTGTATGTATCCAGGAATGCCAATGCTGATGTTCTGTTTTCCTGTGTCTATATATTTCTCAATTAAATATAAAAATGGCATTCCCAAACTAATATCAATTGACACATTCCTTGCTTAAGGTGTTTTCATTTGCCACAAGTTGTAAACATGCACTAAGGGAGTCATTTATATTTAAAAGAAAACAGCAGAAGAGAAAAACAGAACAAAAATGCCCACAGCCATCAATCAATCAAGTTCAATCTTTAGTACAATGAAAACTAAAATCTGATTAGTGGGAATCATTCAGTTTTCTTCCCCAAAACTGCTGTGATCTTCCTGAAGCATCTTTTGTTAAGGTTTAGCAGCCACCAGAGGGAGCTGTTGATGCAGAGATATTCTACTTTATGATTTTCTTGCATCTGGGATCCCAGCAAAGTAAATCACAGGTGCTATAAAATGCCTACCTACATTAAACATAGATCTTCTATGAGCAGTACACCTGATGTTTTTCTGAAAAGTTAAATCATGCAGAAAAAACCTTTTTAATTCCTTACAGCATAACACGATCAAATTTCCTTGCTGCACACAAACCAAATCAAACCTTATACACAATGCTAACAAACGGGTGGACACAAGTCTGGAGGAAAAGGGACTGTGGCTTCAGAAGCTTGATTGTTAGGAGGACAGCAAATCTATTCACCTCTGCTGGTCTATGACCTGATATAGATTGTCATTTGGATATCATTCTGTAAATAAAAATCATGTACATCATATACTCTGAATCCTAACTCCAATGATAAACCCCTCATACAGGCACAGTATATACGGACATTTGTAGAGCCTCTATTCATAAAGTATTAACAAAGCAGTTACCAAACAAAATGTACACCATGATTTCTTATGGACCTTAAAATGTACATGAGTGTAGAAAACTCA